GATGTACTGCTGACACCTTGTGCTCCACTGGGAACCCAAGAGAATAATAATAGTAAGGCAATTAACTGATGATGCAATCGAGTTGACTATCTGTCAGTTGTTGGACATTATGTGTAGCAGACATTCATGAGATATTACAGAAATATTCAACAAACATTGAACATATTATTTACTTTGATTCTTTATATCAAGAATATTGACTTTATTGAAACCATTGAATTAGTAGCCATTGATCAATTTCGCTGTTGACATATAACATATCTTGAAAATCCTCAGTGGGTCATTGAAAATAAAAGGCGTTCAGTGAAGAGTTACCCCTCTTTTCTATGATATCATTCTCACGCTGCACAACTGCATTTATATAGTAAATTGTCTTATCAACAAAAGGAATGTTCCCAAAGATGTATCACTGGAATTGTAAGTTTTTAGATAACAAATTACGTGGTGTAGAAAGCGTTAGTCAGGTAGAAACTAAAATGAAATTAAACAATTACATTAAGTGGCGTAATATAACTGACGGAGTTAAGTAGAATCCAAGTTAACAAGTTAACAACGGTGGTAATAAGGGGTGGAAATCTAATAAGGGTTGGGGGAAGAAAATAATATAATTAAGAAACAAAAAACAAAAAACTACCTATTTGATGTTAAGATAGATCAGGTTCATTGTAAATTTAATGACTGAACAAACTTCTTTATATGCGGAGTTCAGGATCTAATATGTAAATTGCCATTGCTCCTGTGATTTGAAGAAGTTTTATTTGTTTTCCTCCTGTAGCGAATTCCCACGTTTTCTGTCGATGACTTTGAAGTTCGTTGTGGATAGATTAGCTTGGTTTGTGTCCAAATTCAATCAGGTATTCCAGAACAGAGCTACTGTGCGGCGTGTCTTTTGCCTCCATTATAAAACCATGAGGGTGAGTATTCGATCATATGTCTGGATAGCAAACCCTGGGAACGGCTGATATACCTCGCTGCACACGGGTAGATCAATTGGTAGATGCCTGTTACATACAGGCTGGTGTATTATTATTATTGTTCCCCCGGGTTCCTAGTGGAACATAGGGCTTCAACTGCACGTCTCCACTTGCTTCTGTCCTCTCCTGTACTTTTCACCTGCGTCCATGTTAATCCATACTCTTTCAACTCTTCTTCACACGATCTCCTCCATGTCACCCTTGCACCGACGTCCCACTCGCCGCTTCCCTTTCGGGTTCCACTCGAGCATTGGCCTGACGCGCGATGTCACCCAACGGCCTCCTCAGCGAGTGTCCAATCCATCTCCACTTTCTCCTGTACCTTTGTTGAGCGATTGGTTCTTGTTTTGTTTGTTCCCATAGTTTCTTGTTGGTTATTTTTGAGTACAGAGCGAAAACAGTTGTTGATAAAGGTGTGCAACAGGCTTTTGGAAATATTGTTTGTGACCCGCCAAGTTTCTGTCTGGTGTAATAATAATAATAATCTATTTCATTGTCCTGGCTTCCTTCCCACTGTAAATAGAATCCTTGGATGTACGCAGTTTAGTCACTAATGCATTTCATATATGCTCTTTGTTTCTAGACACACACTATCCATTTCAATCTTATAGCCGTAAGTTGTGTATGTTGAAGAAAATTTCTCTTTCTAGCATTTTGATGACAGTCTACATTGAAATTAAACCAAATTCCTACAAAAATGACGCATAATTCAGAAGTGTCAATCCTTACCTCATTGATGGCTACTGGATAAAGGATGTTTTGAGGCTGTGAAATGAGAAGTTGTGGTCAATGGGCTCTCCCATGTCTAGGTGAAATGGATCGCATTCCTTGACTGACAGTAGTTAGAATTCAGGGGTTATTGAATTTTGCCTCAATTGGTTAAATGGTCAAGTCAATCAGATTGACTTCGTCACTTGAAGCCACAGGAGATGAACGCTCGTAGGATTGGGGGTATGTAGAGTGCTGGTCTTTAATTACCTCTAACCAATGTTGGTTTGTAACGCAACCTACACTGAAACTGTCCAAAGCTCTATGAAAACACTATAAAATGTGACAAAAAAATGATCGCTTTCCGATTGTTTCAGATTTCCTTCATTTCAGTGTGATTAGTAGAAATAAGAACTAACTTCAATGTATGGTGGATTCAGAATATTGTTGGTTGTTGTTATAGGCGTTCACTGTCGTCATTCTTAGTGTACCCCGCCAATGGATATGGTTCTTGTTTAATTCAAATTTCCAGGGTTTGCCTTGCTAACCAGCAAAATGTCTCAACGATATAAGCTTACCAGCCGAAGACGTTTACGAAAGACAAATTCATCTGATCGTAGTGAGCAGAAATCTTATTGTCTTCACCAAATGATTCACCCATATCGAATTTAAGATGATGTAGCAGGATTGATCTGCGGCGATTCTTGGTATCAGGATAAGATGTGAAGGAGTGAATGTATAGACTGCATCAGCCCTAATAAACTGATTGCTCACGAAATCTCGCTGTGGATACAAAAGCCTCATATGGCCCGTTTCCAAACTCCCAAACGTCATATTTGAGAGTAGACGTGATATCTGTTAATCAATCAAAGCACGTGTGTAACGTAAGGCGGTTTAATAAGTTCCACATTACGACTTCTGGAAATGGAAGCTGAAATTGACAGATGTGAAAAGGCTAGCGGTTTGTGACCATATGGAGTTACTCTGAATTTATGGTTTATGGTGGTATAATTTGTTAGTAATAATGGGGTAAGGCCTCCAGTGTTAGTTAGGGAAAGAAGCTCGGTCGTCGAGGTTACGCTGACTAGGACGTCGATGTTGCACGTCGAGACACCACCTCCTTCAATGAGCAATGTTAGCTAATACACTGAATCGTGACGAATAAGCTGACCGAAGTTTCGCACATTACTGAAGTCTATTGTAGTTTTGGTTCTTCGATTCGAAGCTGCCTTATTCAGGGTGGATGGAATGCGCTACAGATGGTAATTTGCAAGGCTGACGTTAAACTGAACTATTGACTGATTTTTTTATACTTTTTATTGAACTTTTGAGCAACTCAGCAGAAAACATGAGCTTTAATACCTTGCATGAGAAATATGGCAACTATGACTTGCTTATCAACGAAGACATCGAAGTCAGCTGAATAAGACATTTAGATAAACGACTTTTAAGCACTTCAGTAATAGTGTCGCCTTTGAACGCCAAGTTCGCAAATATTTTCTTCATTCCATTAGATGTCTGCTGTTTAATTAAAAATATATCACTGGTAGAAACTATCTGATATCTGCGTGAACACATCGACCTAAAAAGCATGATCATTGGTTGCTAGCTAACTATCTAAAGCAGCTTTTATTGGAGTTTTTGCTGAGTGTGAAGTTAAGATTTAACAGTGTCATCTGTAATCAAAGGAATGGAGTCACTACGGGGTCTCCATTAGGACCTCTCCTAGAGGATGTCTTCATGGAGAGATGGGAGGGTGGTCCATTGGGTGAAATTATCTCAAAGATGCATTTGTATGAGAGATATATTGACGACACCTTTATTATTTCTGATAACAGTTGTTCAGATGCTGAACTTCTTGGAAGATTTAAAGGATTCTCACCTACTGATACCTTTCATCGTCGAAGAACAGTAAAATTTCGCATTTCACTTCTTAGATGTTAAGTTAGATAGAGGAGAGAATGCTGCGTCGAAAAGGTTGACTCACCGAAAGCCAACATTTACAGGGCAGTAGACTAACTTCAATAGTTGGGTACCTCTAGGCAGAAGGAGATATCCTGTCCGTTCTCTATGCCCCAGAATTTGGAAAATTTGCTCTATAGATATAGTCGATATAGAAATAGAAAGCCTTCACACAACTCTCTTAAATAGTGGATATCCTAGAAGGTTTATTGACAAAACATCAAGAAAGAAACCGTTTCCAACCAAATCACAGTGCCAGAGAAGACACAGTTTATGAGTTTGATGTTCGAAGGTGATACCACTGCTGATGCGACTAAAAGTCGTTTATCTTAATGTATTAAACTCTCTTTTTATTCAGCTGACTTACATTTACTATTTACCAGCCGAAATTTGATTCGACAATGCGTCAAGGATAAACTACCTCTTTTATCCATTTTCATTTTCGCATACTCATTTGCATGCTCGTGTGGAGTTGATTACAGTGGAAAAATCGACAAAAGAGTGCAGCAGTTCAGATCGGAGTACAATACACGCACAAACAGTACAGAAAACAAATGTAGTGAAAGTACAACAGACCTTAATGTTGGAAGGTGGTAGCTCAGAATGTACAACCTCAATCGAAACAGTATCACAACTTCATTGACTGATTTTCTCTTCTCGCCTAATACTCTACGACCTAACCTCACCGTTAATGCTCATATGACGCCAGGCTAACAAGATCAGTTAAACGCAAACACGAGTAGCGAAGAATCGCTAATCTCTTCATATCTTACACTTTTAGCACTACAATAAGTAGAAGGGAACTGTTGAATCCTAGCGGGATTAGCCTGCTTCCCTGACAACCGTAATCAGGTGCACTGGTGGACCAGTAGTAGATTAATTGTCAACCACACTCCTCCTCGTCTAGATTCGATTTCCCTCAAAAGAATTCCTAAACCTCACTTAGTTTATTACTAGCAGGCAGTAACGATACTGATGTCATAATTTAAGTCAGACAGGAGGAGATTTACTCACTTGTGACACTGGCTGGCGTTCACGCTAAATATACATCAAGAATAAGCAGAATTTAGAATTCATGGCCATTGGATTGGGTCTCAGTGGCTTAATGGTCTAAGAGCTCGGTCACCGGAAGGTCCTGAGTCCGAACCCTGTTGTGTGCGGGCCGCTGAAGAGTCCCAAACTAAGATGAAACAGATGTTCAGTCATTCTCTCACTTATGCACCAGCTCGTTATAAAATTCTGTAATCAATCAAATCCCTACAAACCAACACTGCATAATTTATTATTGAAAGATACACATCAGTATTACTTTTGCACATAACTCAATTTCTTATAACATATTCCTCTGTATTTCAGGCCAATCCGCATTAAAATCTTGGGTCGATAGTGCTATACGTGAGTGAATAACCTTGTTGAAGAATTCATCATATTTCTTAAAACAAACATTATTGATTTCTTGTAAATCATTTGAAAATAATCCCAGCAAGTGTTTAAGCGAAAAAATCTGAGCAAGATCTGTTTTCTGGACGTTTCGCTGTGTAAGCTACACCTTCTTCAGTAGCAAAATTATTCGAATTTTAATAAGCCTCACAATATATCCTCAAAAAGCTACTTAACTTGAAGTCAATTCCTTTAGAAGCCACTTGCCAGTAGACATTTGTACCGATAGAAAAATGTGTAGACAGTCATCACACATATTTGTAACGACTAATGTCACATTTCAATATAGCAAAAATATTCATTCAGACATCTATAAAACACAAAATAATTAAGCAAAGAATATCCTTTTCGATAAATTCCTCCTCTTCTGGCTCTACAATTATAAATGCATGTTTATACACATAGAATATGAAAGAGCTTCTCTTGAAATGAATGTCCACTTTTTATTTAATAAGGAACTATACAGACAAATCGATGATGTGGTAATGGGGTCACCCGCAGGACCCATTCTAGTCGACATTTTCCTTGCGAAACTAGAGAATGGGCCTTTGAAGGATGTAATTGATGAACTAGAATTCTACTGTCGGTACATGGATGATACATTTTTGATTATGAAAAATGAGGATGAAGCAAAGAACATCCTGGATAAATTTAACGAGGTTCATCCTGCAATAAATTTTACTATTGAGAAAGAAAAAGACTCTAGTATTGTATTTTTAGACGTCCTTATGACCAGAAAAGAGGACGGCACAATAAGAAGAAGTGTTTATAGAAAACCTACATCAACGGGCCAGTACACACATTTTCTCAGCTTTGTGCCCTTGAAATACAAACGCAATCTAATAAAGTGCTTGGTCCACAGAGCAAGAGAGATTTGCTCGGATGAATGTCTCGACGAGGAACTTAACAATATTAAACGGTTGCTAAGTGAGAATGGTTATTCCATAATGGATAAGAATTTATTTTGATAAATCACACAGTGTAGTACAGTTATATTAACTGATGACGTTTCGAGCACAAACTATTGCTCATAATCATATCAACTTGATATGATTATGAGCAATAGTTTGTGCTCGAAACGTCATCAGTTAATATAACTGTACTACACTGTGTGATTTATCAAAATAAAATCTTATCCATTATGGAATTATACTCTACCACAGTGCCCAAGTTTTATACTTATATCAATGAGAATGGTTATCCCGAAAAGTTTATTGGTAAGAATCTGAATCTGAAACCAAAACAGCCCAAGTTACCAACAGTTCCAAAGAAGGCCTTGTTCTTACAGATGCAGTTCCTAGGAGACAACACAAGTGAGATACTAACACATCGCCTCAGAAATGCAGTAAAAAGAGCATTCCCTGCTGCTCAATTACGCTTTATCTTCAAAACCATTCCTCTTCTGCGTTCGGGAATAAAAGACAAACTGCCCAATTTCGCCTCTTCCATGTGTATATACCAATTAAACTGCTCCTGTGGAGCTAGTTACATAGGCCGTACAATTAGGCGTGTTTCTCGTCAAATTTCCGAACATCGCTCTGCCTGGTTAAGCAAAGGTCAAACAAAATCTATTCGCAGCGCTATTCTGGCACATCTTGTGGATACAGAACACAAGATTGACGTTGACCATGCTTTCAGGGTCATTTACCACACACCAATGAATCTCAATTTTGCCTTAAGAGTTCGACTATTAAATATTGCTGAGGCTGTGGGGATCCATATTAAGAAGCCTAATATGTGCATCCAAAAGAAGTTAGTTCAGACATTATCATTACTTTGGCCATCCAGGTTTGAATAATCCAGAATTTTTGTGGAATTTCCCTAATTTTAGTTGATATTCTATTTGCTATTATATCTTTGTTATTATTATTATTGAAGCATCTTTAATGAACTGTAATTCCATTGTGATCTTACTTTACAAATCGATATTATTTAAAAAACACTAATATTTTTATTGACTACTATTCTAGAATATTCTGTATATATAAGCATATACGTATATAATTGTAGAGCCAGAAGAGGAGTTTATCTAAAAGGATGTTCTTTGCTCAATTATTTTGTGAATTAGTGTCAAATTGTCATAAGTGCATCAGTTGTCTGCATGAGTGTGTGCGTGTGTGCATGTTGTTTGTTATATGGAAAACACATCAGACCGTATGTGAATAAACATGTTAATATTTTTACAGAGTACATACACAACACCGGACTGAATACTCCTCCCATATAGGTGGTGATAAGTCTATCCCTTCTCTCCTATTTATATTTATAGCATTCTATGTAGTTGAAATGTGGAAGGCTTTAGAGGTCAGCCTTTCTCCACGTGGTGAATGCAGGCCTTTTCCTAGAATTTCGATGCTGTCTAAATCGATCTTATGTCCGCTGTCTATAGCATGCATTACTATGGACTCGTTAATTCTACTCCATTTCGTGCACAGCCAGTGTTCATTCACTCTGACCTTCCTTCACCTGTCTACTGCCTTCCCCTATATCGCAAACCTCACGTTTTGAACACTTTATCCTATATACACAGTTGTATTTTGTGTCATTTTAGGAAACATATCTTTGATATTCACCAAAGCTTTCTGTAAAGATTTGGAGAATTTAATATTATATGAAGAAAGTACCCCTTTGAAGTTGTTCAATCGTGTCCTTCCGTTATCAAATGGCTATCTTTCATACCCCCAAGATTTATCAATTTTTAGTTTTTGTGCCCTTCTCACCCTTTCTATTGATGATATCCTTTAGAAGCTCTTTCGAGTATCCATTTCCAATCAAAATATTGGACATCTCGTTCTCCACACCATCATTATCTGTTTCTAGTTCTCTTTACGAGATTTGAAGTTACTGAACCTTTCATTCCTATTGGATGAATTCAGTTGGGAAATTCAAATATTTGTTTGAAAGCACCGGTTTCCTGTATATCGTGAAATTTATATTTTGATGGTTCATAAAATTTGAATACTTCTGCTGCTGAAAAAGCTGTGGCTGACAGCGAGGAGATCAGAAAAATCTTGCGTAGATTTTTTTCAAAAACACACGTAGGGATTATTTTCAGTTATTATTAATGATTCAGTCTGATTCGGGGCTCAAATTATTATTCCAGGAAATTCTTAATATCTACTGTTCGCATACTTGTAAATATTGATTTATTGATTAAATTTAAATACTTCTCAACAGCATACATTTTTCCATAGACAATACTGGTTTTCATAAAGTACCTCTGTCTGATTAAGCTCAATCGCGATGCCGGATAGCTGAGGGGTAACATCTCTGGCTCTGTCACTGGTTGACGCAGATTTTAATCTCAGAAAGGACATAGGTCTCTTCAAAGGTTTGCAGAAACGCTTTGATGACTGGTGAGTGCCAGCTAGCACGAAACCTAGGTGTAGACGGAGCTTCCTGCCGATTGTTTCCAACCGCCTAATACCACTTACAGGACACTGTTGGTACCAAGCGCCATAACGTCATCTCAGGATAGTTCTTGCCAAGAATTAACAGACAGTTTCTGTTTTGTGTAATTAGGAAAGTTCTGCCTACAACTCCTTTCCGCATCACCGATTCCCAGAGACTTGAGTTGATCAGATTTCTTCACTTCAACACATATTACTAGTGAAACATATTTGAGTAGTTGGAAGCTACTCATGCAAAGTAACACTGACCTAAACACTGGACTAATGTTTTATTTGTTTAAGGGCATCCTTATCAGTCATGTATCTGGTATAGACTCAGCTCAGACAAGCCCACTCGCATGTGCTGAAACCACCCAACTGGTAACACGTAGAGTTATACTTGTAATTGGCAAGCTGAGCATATAAAAATGGCAAAATCTTCACAATTTCATTTTGGAGACCAGTATCTTCAGATTACAATAATCACCTTCCTGAAACCATCAAGTAACAGAGTAAGCATAACTGCTGCATGTTTCTAGATAATTATTGATTGAAAGGACTCTAAGTATGTCTCATGTCGACCAGTTGTATATTCTAGCCGAATTTATTTGAGCACAGGAGACTTGTGGCCGGGGAGGGGTGTGGGAATAAGTGAATGAATCAATTCGTCAGCACAATCATTTCCTGTCACACTGATATGCTGAAATGTTGTCTTTATGATTGACTTTGAATGTTTCCTGCTATTTCACTCGATGTCAATATCTGAATGTATGGAACTCGATTCTGTCTCTCCCCCTATCTCTCCCTCTCTCATAGTTGTTTTTAAGTATCGATTTATTCATGAACTGACAGTTATTTCCCCCCTTTTTTCTCTCTCTCCTAATTTCTATTTTCTCAGCAATCTACCAACAAGGAGAGACAGAACATTCAAGTAAGTTTCAAGTTACTTTTCAAGTGTTGGCTTGCAGGAATTTGATTGACCTAGAGGTAATTCGCCGGAGTGACGTCATTTTGAGAACTATTGAAAACCATGGATTAATGGACGGATGTTTCATGCCTAGTTGGAGACATCTCTCAGCAGTGAATACACTTTACTGATGGAAGGATCGAAAACAGGACCTTCGGGTTACTAGGAAAGCTTCTAAACGATTCTGCTACTGGGAAAGGATCCAATAACCTATCAGTTCTAACCTCCAACCATCTAATATCATGAAATCAATGTGCACCGTGATGGCGAGCTACCTAGAATGGTGGCCGCATTACAAACCTGACTGACTGATAGAATTCAGTCTGTACCAAAGAAAGGACTAGACACATCACACTAGTTACTAGTGTCCAATCAAAATATCCACTACAGTCCTACAGGAGGTCAGTCGCGAGCCCGAATAGCTCATTGGTAACGTCTCTGACTGCAGGCGGCAATGGGTGACGCGGGTTAGAATCCCAGAAGTAGGGACATGAGTTCCTTCAAGGTTGCAGATACGCCCAGCTGACTACTGGTGAGTGTCAACTATTAGGAGACCTAGGTCCAAGGTTTCCTGCCGATTGCCTCCAACCATCTAATATCATCAAATCTCTATCAACTCACTATTTAGTGCGCCAATGTCAGCCACTGTCATACTTGGTGAGTGTTTGACCTCACACTCGACCGACATGGTGAATCCGCCTTGTTACAACTTCTCGCTAGAACCCCAGGCAAAATTCGTCCTGCAGCCAGTCATCAGATTATTTTTCAAGTGTTGGTTTGTAGGAATGAGGACGGTTTCAAGTTATACTGCATCCTTACTGCCTATGAGTCCCAAACTAGGACGAAATAGCTGTCCAGTACTCTCTGCTGGTTTCTAATGGTCGTATAAATGATGTCAATCTGTAATCAAATATAACACAAACCAAATGCCTACAAATAAACTCATCAAAAAGTATTTGTTGCCTAATTAATTGGTGTTCACTTTTCTTTTGAATTACATTTAAGGACAACTACTGTGGAATTGGTTTAATGGAGCGTTCTGTAAGTTTCTTGTACTTTCTGAAGTCGATTCCCAGACATATTGACTGAATGAATGAATGGATGAATTATTAGGATGTTTTTTTAGTTATTCCGCCAACTAAGAAAACGTGTGGGTAATCTATGAACTTGTATTTGTTTAGATGTGTGGATGGATAAATGCCATAACTGTCTGATTAGCATACAGAAGTCCACCAATCAAACAAAGTTTAGTCTTCCTACACTCGTTTGCAGAGTGACGCCTTGTTGAAATGAACTCGTCGCTAAGTTCTTTTAAACCTGTTGCTAATTAATATGACTACGTCGACAGCTGATATGAGCGAGTGGACTGATGCGTGGGTGTAATAGTGCTAATGCCACGAACAGCTCAACTAATATGCTAGGTTGAACTATTCGTCCCTAGGACCTTCCACTTGAATGAGCTTTTAAATACCAGAAGACAAAGACTGGCCTGTGGCTGTTGAGATACGATTTACATTGGGAGAACGCACGTCATGTTTCGACTACAGGCGGGACTGACGAGGATATCAAAGCAAGTATCGGAAAGGCAAGACAAGCTTTTACTACTCTCAAGTCTGTGTGGACGTCAACAGCACTCACCATCAAAAATAAGATCCGGATTTTCAACTCCAATGTAAAGTCAGTCAGTGCTACTATACGGATCAGAACTTGACCAGCGCGTCATAAAGAGCATCTCAAACAAACTACAGACCTTCATCAACAGTTGTCTTCGCAGAATACCCAAGATCAGATGCCCAGAAAAGATCAGCAACATAGATCTATGGGAGCGAACCAACCAGAAACCGATTGTTTAACAGGAAGAAATGGAGATGGATTGGCCACACTCTGAGGAAACCATCAAGTGACATCAATAGACAAGCCCTTGAGTGGAACCCGAATGGGAAGCGGCGAGTTGGTCGTCAGTGGTTGAGGGTGACATGGAGGAGGTCATGTGAAGAGGAGATGAAAACGTGTGGACAGACTTGGAGCCAGGTGAAGACTCTAGCAGACAACCGAACGCAACGGAGACGCACGGTTGAAGCCCTATGTTCCTCTAGGAATTAAAGGAAACACTAATAATAATATAACACGTCATGTTTATGTATTTCTAACCACATTAAAATCGGTCTAGGTCAGTGACAGTGGATTTTTCTGATTGGCTGGTGATTTCTCTAGGACCAAGCTCAGAGAGAAAGATGGTGGAATCTAACAGTCAGTCAAGATCATCCAATCACATAATGAATCATATGATGAATCACAAGATGATTACTGTTTTAAGCCAACTCCTATCACGCCTACGCACTTATAAGCAACCCACGTGTTTTCTGATTGGCAGATTTTAGTATGCTTATATCATGGTCAATCAGATGATTTTTGTCTTTATCCGGTGCCACAAGTGTTTGGCACTATTTCGAATAGATGAGCGACGCCTTGTGTTCAGTGCATTTTAGTTAGTATCTGCAGTGGTGACTTCATTTTCAAGGAACTGCCCTTATGTTCTCATATTTCGGTTCCATCAGTAATGACTGCGAATTATTATTATTAATAATAATACTGTCAAAGGAAGGTGTATCAAATGCGCAATCATTCAGAACATAAGATGAGATGTGAATAGACAAAAGGGTGATTATAGTCAACAGAATAGAAGTTTCATTGCCGGTGGGGGGGGTTAGTTATATTCAGTGACGTGCGGGGAAAAGGATTACCACAAAATACATAGAAACAAATACCGAAAATAGGAAGCACTGAATGTTTGTTCAAGGGCTGGCAATATTAAGTGACGAACTATCATTCCATATTATACATATTTCCCAATACAGTTACCGATATATCATTATTATTGTTTCCTTAGGTTCCTTGTAGGACACAAGGCTTCAACAGGCTTCACATCCCCATTTCATCCAGTCTTCCTCATTTTTCCTTAGTTAGCTCCAGGATTAACCACAGGTTCATATCTCCTCATCAACACCATGTCTTCAATGGCACCTTTGGATCCACGCGCAATCCACCGTTTCTCACCCGATCCCATTCTACGAACTGGTGTGCAATGTCACTCAACTGACTCCTTAATATTTAGCCGATCCATCTTCATTTGTCTCCCAGCATATTTGCTGGGTAACGGCTTCTTAGTTGATTCCTTCCCAGAGTTTCTTGTTGCTTATCCTTCCTGGCATTTTTATCACCTATGGCTTTGCTATGGTCACTTGAAGTCCTGTCTCCTTCACTTCTTTTCCTGACTTGTTACTTTTCAAGTGTAGACCATCGAGTTTGTGTGACATTAAACAGAAATCATCCACAAAGACCAAATGTTCTAGAGTCTTCTTATCAGCCTATAGTATACCTGTCACCTAGCTCTCCTATTAATTAGTCCTCTCAAAAAGATATCGTGGCCTTACCAATGATTAGTGCTGACATATTCAACTTCTGATTTCGTAAGGAATTGCTTGACTTTATGGTTTGTGTTTCTGGAGCTGTTGTTGAGCTGGAGGGTCCATTTGTGAAGCTTCCATTTGTCTTTTGTACAACCTCTTCGACACTAATTACGAAGTGAATTTGGCTAAAGGAGTTGTACGTGAATGAAATATTCTAACTGTCCTAATGGTGACCTTCACTGCGACTGGTTGTTTCTGTAGATTCTCACATGATTGAATCCACTTTTATTAATATTGGTCCCCTAGATTGGCCCGCTATTTGCCCCTCTTCCTCGTTGAACCTAATTTTTCTTATTGAATTACAAATTCTGATCTATATCCGCATACCTGTTAATCGCGAATTGGTTATAAAATCAGGTTTTCAAGAAATTAACAGCCTTCTTTGTTCCAAGTTTTATCACCGATTGATATCAGTTAGAGAATCATTCAAAACCGGTGAAGGAGTACTTGTTATCCGTTTCATCCTAGTCTGCGACACATCGGAAGTACGCACCCACCGAGACCCAAACTCAGGACCTTCTGGCTGCATGGCAAGCTCGAAGACTATTCAGCCACAGGAAACTTACTTCTAAGTCAGCAGCCCATGAATTCGAATTCCTGCCAGTTCGTGGTTTTAACAGCGCGACTGGCACAAGCCAATGTCATCACTGGTGAGTATTTGTCCTTAATCGCGACCCATTGGATCCCACACTGGTCACCACTTCTCACTAGAACTCACTATAAGCAAGTTTTTCCTGTAACCAGTCAGTCACTGGCGAGCATCAGATTAAATTTCATGAGTCTGTTTGTAGAGATACCAATCCGTGATCCAACTTGAAACAAACAAACTGATGAAAATCGTCCTTTGTACATCCTCTGTCTAAGATCTGTTTTGAATTTATTACAGATTTCGTTACACACTATCTTCACACTCTTGAAAGTCGACATCTGAATTTCAATTCACTGCTCCTGTGAATAACCATCTTCATGATGAAATTGTTTGAGTTCAGATGAGAATTCATACCTTAGTGTGAGGGTTCAGTGGAACGTGTTCAGATGAATGTTGCTTGTCCATAGTATGCAATGACAATGAAGCTTAACTTTCCACAAGTTGAAACCTTCAAGTCACTAAACGTTAGACAAGTTCCTGAAGAGTAGTGTGCCTGCTTTTTGCTATGTAATGATCCTTAGGTCCTCCTACCCGCTCGCCCCCTCCACTTTGTAATGGAGTTACACTACCTCATTAGTAGTAAATGCATACGAAGGTACTGGAATTACATATCAAAACGTTTTGAGTAGTTTACGCGTAAACACTTGGGTTTTTATATGGATAACTTAGAAGAAAATCAATGTAAATTCACCTCTATTGTCTTACAGATTTTGTGCAAAGTACAGCGTAGTACATGTAAATATGTGAGTAGTACTATTTTTGTTTTATTGTATTAACGAACAGGGCTAAAGGTTATCTCAAGGTTGTTTTCACACTTAGTATGACGGAGGGATGTAGCGGATATT